AGGTTGTGGCTCATGTAGACTTGTTTCTTCAGTGAACTTTTGGTTACCTTCTTACTGTTTTCCTCCTGTAGTTGTATCTTAGAGGGCCGCTCGCAGTTTTAAGACTCCAAATGCTACTCACTTCACTAGAATGCAGATCATGATTTTTGTGAACCATGATACGCCAATTAACTGAGTTGTTCCATGATGATTCTTTACTATGGCTTGGTGTTCAGCAGTTCCCCTGCTATAGTAAGGAGAATGGAATTCTCTTTTAATTAACACAAGCCATCCGTCCTCAGTCACCTGGGTGTCGAAAGAGGGAGTGGGGAGGGGGAGAAGAAAGCACAGACCTGAACAGTCTTTAGAGCAGCACTAACTCATTGGGCAGCACATTCAAAAAGGGTTAGTGAAAAATATTAAGTCCAGCATGGAGCACTGTTCCCCATCTCAAACACAGCCCTTTGATTCTAAATTTAGCCTCACCAGGTCCTTGCTGTACTAGCCGCCCAGGTGGAAAAAGCGGGATTAATAATGATCTCCCCTGATTTGTGCAGCCAGATACGGATGATGAGAAGCCAGCCAGGGGGCTCGTGCACAGATACATTATGGATGATATTAATCTTCTTCACCACTGACCTTGCAAACGTCAGCCAGCATGCGGTGGATGAGAACAGCACCTTGTGCTACACGGAGAGAAGACACCGGGTGGGATTAAGCTCTCCAAATCTCTTTTCCATTATCCCTCCCCCACTCCCAGGAACAAAGGTCAGTATTACAATCCCCTGTTGCACCTAAATAAGGCTTAAGTATAATGCAGAATAACTTTAATTTTAAAAGAAGCTGTCTAGAGTTCTCTGCGTTCAGTTCCACCCTCAGCTCCTCATTTCACATGGAATGATGGCTAGAGGGCTGGGGCTTAGCTTTGAAAATCATTTGGGCAACACTTGGATCCTGGTAATAAAATATGAAAAATATTCTCTGCATAAACTATAATAGTGTTCTACTGTCTTGCCATTTAAATAAAAGTCACTAGGCTGCCTTTGGTAAGTATTACAAGGAGGGGGAAACCCAAGAGCTTTTGTGTGAAGGAGGTAAGACGGAACAGTGAAAGGAGTGCTGATCTACAAATCGGAGGAGAGTGTCATCTGGCCAATTCACTTACCCTCCGTTACTTAATCCTCAACATGGGGATAGTTGCTCTATTTATCTCACAAAGATGTTGTAAAGATAAAACCCTATGTTACATATTTGAAAGTGTTCTCTAACCTTTGCAAATATAAGAAGTATTATTAACACTTGATCCATGTGATGACGAAAAGTGGTTCTAAATGTAAGGTAATACATTTCAGGATCTAGTAATTTTGTATAAGCTACATCTCTAGGGCTCCTTCTTTATTTGGAATTGTTCACCAGGTTCCACTGCACTTGACTATTCAAGGACGTCATTTCTCCCCTCACTGTCCCGCAGCATCAATTTTTGCCTCTCTACTGGATTATTCTGTTTTTAGGTGCCATGGAGTTGGTTTCAACTCACAGCAACTCTATGTACAACAGAACGACACACTGACCAGTCCCACGCCATCCTCACAATTGTTGCTGTTTGAGGCCATCGTTGCAGCCACTGTGTCAATCCATCTCATCGAGGGTCTTCCTCTCTTTCACTGACCCTCTATTTTACCAAGCATGATGTCTTTCTCCAGGGACTGGCCCCTTCTGATAATATGTTCAAAGTACGTGAGATGAAGTATCAGCATTCAAACATACAGATACTTCTCCCCTCTTAAAGAAAAATAAAAAAGCACCTCTTTGTAACCTCATGTCTCCTATAGTTACGATTCCATTTTTCTGTTTCCTTTTTATAGCCGAACCTGAGAAAGCTGTTTATACATCCTGTCTCAAATTTATTTCTTCCCATCCTTTCTTGAGTCTACTCTCCACCTCCCTCTTTCCACCCAAACTGCTCTTGTCAAGTTCCTCAACGAATTCCACACTGTCAAGTCCAATGGTCAGTCTTCAGCCCTCATCTGATGACCTACCAGCGGCATTGACAGAGTTGACTCCTGCTCAGCCTCCTTTGCTGGTTCCTCCTCTTCTTCCCTTCTTCTTAATGGTGGACGGTTCTAGAGCTCAGTCTTTGGTCTTCTCTTTTTTCTCTACACTAGCTCCCCTAGTAATCTCATTTGGTCCCAGGGCTTTTAATACTAGCTATGCACCAATGAATAACAGACACATGTCTTTATATATCCAGCTTGGACCTCTCCCATGAACTCATCTCATATACCCGAATTCTACTCAACACACTCACTTAAATATTTAACAGGTGTCTCAAACATAACAGTCTCCAAACTGCTTGTCCCTACTCCATGCTCCACCTCCAACATGCTCCTTTCAGACTTTCCTGTCTCACAACTGTTTTAGTTACTAAGGCCAGAAACCTTGGAGTCATTCTTGATTCTTCTCTTTGCCTCATACCCTGCTTCTAATCTGTCCATAAATCTGATGGCTCCACCTTCAAAATACATTCAGAAACCAATCACTTCTTACCATCTCTACTAGCACCTTAGTCCAATTAACTATCACCTCTTACGGAGAATATTGTAATTGCATTTTAACTGGTATCATTGCTACTGCCCTTGCCTCTTGTCTTAGTTATCCAGTGCTGCTATAACAGAAATACCACCAAGTGGATGGCTTTAGCAAACAGAAATTTATTCTCTCACAGTTTAGGAGGCTAGAAGTCCAAATTCAGGGTGCCAGCTCCAGGGGAAGGCTTTCTCTCTCTTCTGGTTCTGGAAGAAGGTCCTTGCCATTTATCTTCCCCTGGTCTAGGAGCTTTCTGCACAGGGACCCCAGGTCCAAAGGACATGCTCTACAACTGGTGCTTCTTTCTTGGTAGTATGAGGTCCCTCTCCTCTCTGCTTCATTCTCTCTTTTATATCTCGAAGAGATTGACTCAAAATACAGCCTAATCCTGTAGATGGAGTCCAGCCTCACTCACATAACTGCCTCTAATCCTGCCTCATTAACATCATAGAAGCTAGGATTTACAACACATAGTATAATCACATCAGCTCACAAGACGGTAGACAACCACACAATACTGGGAATCATGGCCTAGGAAAGGTGACACAGATTTTGGGGAGACACAATTCAATCCTTGATACCTCTCTACAGTCTGTTTTGAACATAGCATCCAAAGTGACCTTTTAATTTACGATTCCAGAGAGTAAGGGCAGTCTACCTCCCTCTCTCACTGTAATGCAGCTATAAAACCTGGACAGATGCATGTAATGGCTCTTTGAGGACTCTGAAAAGTAAATAGCAGCAAGTACATTGGGGAAGAAAACTACAACTTGAAGTGTCATCGAATCAGCAGTGAGTTAACTTTTTTTTTCCCTGGCAGTATTCCCTGGTCTGGACTCAAGATAGGACAGAAGCAGGAAGTGGGCATCAGCAAGGGCAGAGAGAGGTCCAGGAGCAGCTTTCTTTCTGGACCAAGAAACAGAAGAGGGGTTTTCTAATATCCACAGGGAGTGGGGGAATTCTCCTGTCTTTTCAAGAAAACAAAGGCTCTGTTTTCTCACATCCCAGTCCCCAAGCAATTTTGTGGGGACAGTGACAGCAGCAGCAACAGGGGCACGCAGAGCCTAACACTGTGAGGAAGGGGGACCTTCTCCAATCAGAGGAGCTGTGGTCCCAAGAGGGTGAGGTAAACATCTGCTGCTTCTTCCCTCTGTCTGCCTGCTGCTTGGCCCTTGACACAGGCACAGTCACAGAAAGGGTGCAGCACAGCAGGGAAAATAAAGCCCCAGTTTAATGGCCAGAGGACTGAAAGGGGACCCCAGGGAAGCAGAAAGTACTGGAAAGACTAGAGAGAGGGAAGAGCTCATGAGAGTAACCCCATAAAATTGTTTATAGGTGACAGACATATAGACCAATGGAACAGAACAGAGTCCGGAACAGAGCCCCACACAAGTATGGCCAACTGACTTCTGACAAAGGTGCCTATCATGGATTGAACTCTGTCCCCCAAAAATATCTGTCAACTTGGCTAGGCCATGATTCCCAGTATTGTGATTGTCCACCATTTTGTCATCTGATGTGATTTTCCTACGTGTTGTAAACCTCTATGATGTTAATGAGATGGGATTAGCAGCAGTTATGTTAATGAGGCAGGACTCGATCTGCAAGACTGGATTGTGTCTTAAGCCAATTTATTTTGAGATATAAAAGAGAGAAGCGAGCAGACAGACATGGGGACCTCATACTACCAAGAAAGCAGCACCGGGGGCACAGCGCATCCTTTGGACCCGGGGTTCCTGCTCAGAGAAGCTCCTGGACCAGAAAACTGATGACAGGGACCTTCCGCCAGTGCTGACGGAGAGAGAAGGCCTTCCCCTGGAGCTGACGCCCGGAGTTTGGACTTCTAGCCTCGTGAGAGAATAAACTTCTGTTTGTTAAAGTCATCCACTTGTGGTATTTCTGTATAGCAGCACTAGATAACTAAAACAGTGCCAAAGCTATTCAGTGGAGAAAGGACAGTCTTTTCAACGAATGGTGCTGGAATACTTAGACATCATATGAAAAAAATAAACAAAGGAGCTTTAACCTAAGCCCTGCATCCTATAAAAAAATTAAGTAAAAATGGAGCATAGATCTAAATGTAAAATCATTAAAACTTTTAGAAGAAAATATAGGAGAAAATCTTCATGACCTAGAGTTAGGCAGAGTGCTTACATGTGACACCAAAAGCCTGATCCATAAAAGAATAAATGGATAAGCTGGACTTCATCACAATTCAAACTTTTGTTCTGTGAAAGATGCTGTTAAGACAAGGAAAAGAGAGGCTACACAATGGGGGAAAACCCATTGCTGTCGAGTCGATTCCAACTCACAGCGACCCTATAGGACAGAGTAGAACTGCCCTATAGGGTTTCCAAAGAGTGGCTGGTGGATTTAAACTGCTGATCTTTTGGTTAGCAGCCAAACACTTAACCACTTGAGCCACACAATGGGGGAACATATTTGCAAATCACATACCTGACTGAGGACTTGTATCCAGAATACATAAAGAGTTCTCAAAACAAACAGAATTAAACACACAGTTTAATGTTTAAAATGTACAAAAGACTTCTACAAACACTTCCTCAAAGAAGATATATAGATGGCAAATAAGCACACAAAAATTGCTCAATGTCATTAGCCATCACCAAAACACCCAAACCAAACCCACTGTTGTCAAGTTGATTCCAACTCATAGTGACCCTACAGCGACCAATTCGCCATTAGGGTAACGCAACTCAAACCACAATGATATATTCTACTACACACCTATTAGACGGCTAAAATAAAAAACACTGAAAACACCACGTGCTGGCAAAGATGTAGAAAAACTGGGTCACTCATATACGGCTGATGGGAATTCAAAATTGTAACCCTACTCTGAAAAAAGTATAGTAGTTTCTTACAAAGTTAAACATACACTTACCCTACAACACAGCAATCCTACTTGTATTTACCTTAGAGCAGAGGTGGGCATACTTCTTCTGTAAAGGGCCAGGTAGTAAGTATTTTAGGCTTTGCAACAGTCTCTGCCGCAACTACTCAATTCTGCCAGTGCAGTGTGACAACAGCCATAGACAATATGTAAATGAATGAATACAGCTGTGTTCTAATGAACTTTATTTACAAAAACAGGAAGTGGAATGGATTTGGCTTGTGTGGGTCACAGTTTGCCAAACTTTGCCCAAGAGAAATGAAAACTTATGTTTACATAAATACCTATCAATGAATATTTATAGCAGTTTTATTCCTAACCAGCAAAAATTGGAAACACGAATGCCCTTCAATGGTGACTGGATAGACAAACTGTGGACCATTCATACAAGGGAATAGTACTTAGCACTAAAAAGCAATGAAATATTGACACATACTACAACTTGGAAGAATCTTACAGGCATTATGCTAAGTGAAGCAGCCAGCCTCAAAAGGTACATACTGTGTGATTTCATTTATGTGACATTCTCCAAAAGACAACCAATAGTGACGGAGAACAGATGAAGACTGCCAGGGCTTAGGGCTTGGGGGAGGGTTTGACTACAAAGCGATAGTGTAAGGGAATGTCTTGGGGTGATGGAACTGTTCTGTATCCTGATCCTGATAGTAGTTACATGAATCTATGAGTATGAAAATTCACAGCATTGTATATCAAAACCAAAACAAAAATAATAAACGACTTATAATTCAAAAGATCAGTTCTTGCCTCTGTTCACAGTCCTTCAGTGGCTTTCCACCTCACTTGGAGTAAAAGTCAAAGTCCTTCAAGGCCTCACATAGGTGTGCCCCGTCTTTGAGCATGTCTGCCATCTTGTTTACCACACCTCAGCCACACTAACCTTCTTGCTGTTCCATCTTAGGGCCTTTGTCTTCACTGTCTCCTTGGCTGGGACACTCTCCCTGCAGATCATCCACATGGCTGACTCCTTCAACAAATTTGGGTCTTTGCTCAAACGTCACCCTCTCAACTGGGCCCTCCCCCACCAACTTTTTAGAATTGCGTACCTACTCACATCATCCCCTGCTCCCACTCCCCACCAGGACTCCCTGCCTGTCCTTCTCTACCTCATCCTCCATAGCATTTACCCCCACGTTATCTGACACGCTATATGTTTAATTCATGACTGATGGATGGCTTCCCCAATAGAGTGTAGACTCCACGTAAACCAGGATTTTTGCATTATTCACTGCTTTATCTGCAGCAACTAGAATAGTGCCTAGCACATAGTCGGCACTCAGTAAATATCTGTTCAAAAGAAAGCATAAATTTTCTTTCAAGTGCCAGCAAATTGGAAGGCTTTTATTAAAGCTGTTTTGCATTCCCCACAATGCAGGTCTTATCTGGAAGCAGAAATGCTAAAGGGCGTAAGACCCACCCTCTCTGTCCTGCCCCTTCCCCACTGCCCCCTCCCTGTCCCAGTGAACTCTCACCCCTCATAAGAAGAAACAAAATCCAAGATGTATCCTTCTGTGCTCAAACGTGTACTGAGAAAATAACATCTAAGCACTCCTGCGACAACAGAAGGTTTCACGGAGGATGTTTCATTTCTACGTTTATTTTTAAATAAAAGGTCAGTTTTTCAGATGGAGTGAGGCCTACCATATTGTTATCGCCATTGAGTCAACCGGCCCTACAGGACAGAGTAGAACTGCCCCATAGGGTTTCCAAGGCTGCAGGTCTTTACAGAACAGCCTGCCACATCTTTCTCCCATGGAGCGGCTGGAACTGCCGACCTCTTGGTTAGCAGCTGAGTGCTTTAACCACTGTGCCACCAGGGCTCCTTAGGCCCATTGCAGAATAATCAAATCTTAGAGCTGACTGGGGACTGTGAGCACCTCCGGTCCATCTCCCTCCTTTTAGGTGAGGAAACCGAGGGGATCAGAGTGGAGAAGTGGCATCTCTAAGGTTGCCTGGCCCCAGGCCACTCTCCACTGTCCCGGGTGGTGGGTTTGGAGCACTCGGCACACAAAGCACTGACCCACCCCACACAGACCCATGGAAGGAGCAAGGGATGGAAAGGCTGCAGCTCAGTGTTTTGTGATTATCTAGGAATGATGGGATGATAGCAGATTATGCTGAATTTCAATGAGTTTAAGAGTGTGCTGGGTAATAGACTGAAAAACCCGGAGCATAATCATTACTTCCTGGAATGATAAAGAACCACATTTACAATGCCATCAGCATAATGCACATGAGACACAATACAGAATGATACACAAAGAGATTAGAGAAGGCCCAAAGGCTAAGCAGGAAACTTAATAACCATGGAAAATGCAATGCCCATCACTAATACATTCCAGGAGTCCCTGGACTCTGCCGCTCAGATGCCAGGGCCACAGGGCACTGACAGTGAGGCCAGGCTCCGGGACGAAAGGCGGGGCCTGTTTAGCTGCGGCTAGTGAAGCCTCCTCAGGAAATTCTGGGCTCTAAAAAAGGGCAGTTGTTCAGAGGGGCAGGCTCTCTACACCCTTCGTTTTCTCTGGGCTGAGACAGAGAAAATGAACAAAGACCTAGGTGAAGTCGCCAAACGAGGAGGAAGGAGTTTCCTTCATGAATGAGCCAGGAGTCCAAGCAACATGACCTTATTTATTTTATCTCATTCTTAATCTCAAGGCAAAGATGAGTTAATGTTATGGAAACAAACCTTTTTAAAAATGTGAAACTCCCAACATCCTTAAAACAGAAAAGATAAACTCCGCAGTGATTGGACAGGCGCTGATTTACGTAACAGGGGAAGGGGGGATCAGATTCCCTGCACGGTTTGGAAGATATTATTTTCCATCTTCAGTGGAGAGAAACTCTGTTTTAGACGTCAGTTTGTGCAGCTGGCAGAAGCTTTGTTATTATTTATGAATGCTTGCATTAAAAGAAGGTAATATTGGCTCTCCCACAGAGGGATCTATTTGGAAAATTAATTACCTCCAAATAGCCGTGAATTTTCGAGAATCTGCCAAGAGGATACCGCAGGAATGCCATCCAAACGAATTAAAGCAATATGTGATACTTCAGTGCTCTGGGAACCCTGTTAACAACAAGTCTTCCATCATAACTTAAGGAGGCAAACAGCCACGGGTCTGCGGAAGACCAGTCCACCGCATACACACTATCTTCATGCTCTTCATAGGTTGCGATGACGCTGTCCTGGAGAGGCTCTTTATTCCTAGAATTCAACAGAGACTCAGGTGAAAAAGGCAGTGAATCGGTACATGCAAACAAGGAAATCTCAACCACGGAGCTTGGCTTTTCGGGTTAAGTGCAGTCACCTGTGGCTCCCTACAAGGTAGGGCAGTGAGAAGTGGCAGAAGGGACATGAGACATCCTGCCAGAAGAAATGCATTCAAGTCCCTGAGCCTCCGTTTTCTCATCTGCATAATGGGAATAATTACAGTAGCCTATGTTGAGGCCGAATAAAAATCATTCCTGCAGAAGCACGGAAACCTTCATTACCGCTAGGAAGAAACGAGACTTCCTTGAGTGGCTTGTGGAAATCAATGTTATCGCCTAATGATACCTTGGCCTCTCCGGTCATTAAAACCAAGGGGCCTGCTTGGTTGAAGAGAAAGGACTGGAGGAAAAATGTTCACCGTGTCGGAGAAAAAAAAAAATTTAAAAAACCCTATTACTTTTGAGCAGAAAGGACCTTAGAGATCAGCTAGTTCAAGCCCTCATTGTGCAAACAAGGAGTCTGAGGCCCAGGAAGGGGTAGAGCCTGCTCAGGATCTGGGGCCCTCAGTGCAGGGCTGGGCCTGGGACCGGGACTCCCATAGCGCCCACAGAGCCCAGAGAGAGGGTGCTGTGCTCAGGCAAGGAGAGGGAGGGCCAGCCGGCTTAGGGCGGCACTGGCCTTCTGCAATTGCTCTAATTTAGGATCCTACTTTTCCAAGTTCACCTCCCTTTGCACTTGGGTTACATGTATTTACCTGCTCTAGGAAATCCTACCAGCTGAGCCAGCTCACTTCTCTATTATATCTACGAATTAGAATTAGAGAATTTCTCAGGACATCAGTATTTGCATGTGAGCAATATGGACCTCTCCTGCCTGTCCCAATGGGAACGTTCTGAGGGTTGACATCCACACTGCCCCTTGAGAAGAGTGGCCTCTTTTCTCAACCTGACACACCCTACTTCCCACTGTACAAAATATTTCTACTCAGTGTATATACACTGTAAGTGCTCTTGAATTTCTCTGCAGAAGAATGCTGCATCTCCCCAACAAGACAATAAACTGTTAAAGGCAAGTTCTCCGTTTGCGTCCCTTAATAGTATTAGCTTTGCATTCTGATACAGCCTGAAAAATGTATCACCAAGTCCTGGTCTTCCCAATAAATGAACCTATCAGCTGGTCAACTGATGCTCTGTTCCAAATATAATTTTACAATCATCACGGGGGATACTTTATTTTCTTGAATTTAATAAGATATGAGGACAAACAATGGAAGCAGGAAATGGATATTAAGATTGCTAAGAAATTATTAGAACAAAAAAGCATTAGTGTCATCATGCCTAGGCCCGCCCAACAAGCCAGTGCGTCAATCCTCCCGGACGCGGCCGCTCTGAAACCACCCGCATGGAGGACAGCACACCAATTAACCACACAGCGTCCAATCAAGGGAACGGTCAGGCTTCTCCTCCAACAGAGCCCTGACACCCAGAGGAACCCAGGAACACCCGCTGTGGCTTCGAGACGAGATGACGGTAAAGAAGGCAAACTCCAGACTGGATAACGGCAGATTGCTAGGCTGAAACCACTGCAATTATGTCAACGATTATTTCTGGGTTGACTTGTGTTTCTAAGGATGGGAACGGTAGAGCAACAAAGTCAAGGGACAAACAAATTGGTAAACTGCCATTGCAAAGCTCCAAAGATATTTCCTCACAAAGTAATTTTAGAATAAACTCGGATAGGTAGAGAAAGAACTCAGGAATCTCTAAAGAGAATGATGAAATCATATTGCATTTTGAATGATTTAAACTATTCAATTCAACTGGATTTCATTCCAGAAACTCCTTCTTCTAGAATCATGGGAATTGGCATTCTCTGTGGTAAGACCTGAAGCACGCTCACTCAGGTAGTATGGGGGTAGTTGCCACAGGTGAAAGCAAATCTACCCAAGAAAAATGGAAATTGTTTCCTTTTAATATGTGCTATTGTTGACAGAAGCCCTGTGGCGCAGTGGTTAAAGTGCTTGGCTACTAACGGAAAGGTCAGCAGTTTGAACCTACCCGCTCCACAGGACAAAGATGTGGCAGTCTGCTTCCATGAAGGTTACAGTCTTGGAATTCCTATGGGGCAGTTCTACTCTGTCCTACAGGGTCGCTATGAGTCAGAACCGACTTGACGGCAGTGAGTTTTTTTTTTTTTAGTTTTGTTTTGTTGGTGACAAGGGTGGTACAAATGATTAACATGTTCAGCTGCTAATGGAAAAGCTGGAGGTGTGAGTCCACCCAGAGATATCACAGAAGAAAAGCCTGGTGATCTACTTCTAAAAAATCAGCTACTGAAAACTCTATGAAGTATAGTTCTACTCTGACTCACATGGGGTTGCCATGAGTCGAAATAAACTCGACAGCAACTGGTTATTATTCGCAAAAGACAACAGGGCCTTATCTGCATTTTCCTCACTGTTCAGAAAAGCAAGTGAGTAGCCCATTGCTGGCAATCAGTCCGCCCTTGGGTTACAGCCAGAGCCCCTGAAAGAGCCTTGAGACAAGGACATACCCCTGCTCTGTCCCTAACCAGTGGAGTGACCTAAGTCCCCGACGCCCTGTGTGTCTCGGGAGGCCCTGAGTTCCAACATCAAGAGGGTATTGCCCCAAGCTATCTCCCAATGGTGGATGCTATTAGGATCAGACATAGGAAAGTATTTTTGAAAAAATATACAAACAAGATGGTGTTCCTATTAAAACACGTACTGTGGTTTACTACATTTCACATAGTGTCTAGAGGCAAAGTAGTACCAGGGAATGGATTTGGATTTGGGAGTGAGTGGACTGGGTTCAAGTCCCAGCCTTGACACTTAACTAGCTAAGTGTCTCTGAGCAAATCACTCAACGACACTGAGCTTCATATGTTTAAATTAACTACAGTGAGGATACTAATAATATCTATCTCACGGGGATGACTGTGAGGATTAATGAATGTTTGTTGTTGTTAGGTGCCATTGAATCGGCTCCAATGCATAGTGACTCTATGTACAACAGAATGAAACACTGCCCAGTCCTGCGCCATCCTCATGATCGCTGCTATATCTGAGCCCATTGCCGTAGCCACTGTGTCAATCCACCTCGTTGAGGGTCTTCCTCTTTTTCGCTGACGCTCTACTTTACCAAGCATGATGTCCTTCTCCAGGGACTGGCCCCTCCTGATAACACGTCCGAAGTACATGAGATGAATGTTAGTTCTTGTTGTTATTATTGTTTAAGTTCAGTCTGAAGACTAACGACAGTTTTCAAAAATTTATATATGGCATTTAATAAGAACAAAAAACAGGAGGCATTACCTAACTCAATGTCCATGCCTCCCTGTCTTGGGAGCCAATAATCAGGCTATTGTGCTAATGACCCCCAGAACTGTGAGTCCCCCATAAATGCAGTGAGAAAGGAGAATGTCGGCCTTAAGTAAATACTTTTTAGATAAATCACCTAGATCAAGACATTATTTGTGAGAAAAGAAAAATTCACACATCCTTGAGAATTGCTCCAAAATTTTTAAAATAATTTGTTCTTACTTCTCTTCTTGATGGTGTTCTTCCTGATCACTGAGGTCATCATCATCTACCAGATGGCCAAAGGGCTCGGAGGAAATGGACACCATGTTTGAGAGGATGACTCTGCTGTCACTGCTGCCCGTGAGGATCAGCTGATCGTGAGAGTGGTTGTAGCGGACATTCCACACCCTGCCAAATGCAACGGAGCGGCTGCTGAAATGACCATTCGATGTCAATAGTTTTCAGACTGCACCATGAAGTTAATCTGAGGATAGTCACTTAACCGGGATCAAGATCACAGATTGCTTTGTAAAATCAATCCCAAATTACATGGTTTGACTTGAGGTAATTTTCGGTAGAGGGTTAAGTTATTGTACGTTTCTCTAAAATATTATCTTAAATCCCAACAAACAGAGACAAAAAAAGACTGCTTGTATAAACCCTTAGAGGAAAAAAGAAGGCTTCTTGCTCAATATCCAGACAGGCTTTCCAAAATTCTAAAAACCAAAACTCCCCCAAAAGCAAAATACGGATTAGAGACAATCTGTTACATCAAACAAAATCTTACTACAGCCTCCCCACCAGCAGCTGCCACAGGTCCCTAAGACAAAAGGGCAATGACAGGTCTTGCTAGAATTGTTCTTCGAGCTTTGGCCATTAGGATTCAGCTTGCTTTCTTACACACGCACAGGCCCAGGGAGTTGGTCAGCTTCTGCCTTCAAATCGGGGCCAAAGCAGTCACAGACTCCAGGTCCACGGAGGAGTCAGGGCACAGGGTGTGAAAATCTAGCACATGGAGGTGCAGCTCTATGGAGTGGCTAAGGAGAACAGTTAAACATTTCTACATGCATTGCAGTAAATTATAGCAATGTATTAAATTTATTGAAACTGCACACTAATATTTGGGTGTTTTTTTTTTAATTAGTATTTGTTCTGATTGCAAAAGCAATACAGCTTCTGATGAGTAATTCAAACAATCCAAAGATGCAGACCTTAAGAGTAAAGTGCAGCATGGCCCTCCCTGCCTGACAGAGGATTGCTGGTAATAGTTTGGTTTTTACTTCCCCATTTTCTCTGCACACTTCCGTCTGTATGCGTGCGCACACACACACACACAAACATTTATATACTTTGAAGAAAAAATGGATTCATCCTACACATACTATTCTACAAATTGATTTTTTTTCACTTACTTAGCAAAAGCCAGCATATGGTAAAACATGCAAATAATATTTCAGAAAGAATGAATGATCTTGGGCATCTTGCCATGTCCATACATATACTCTTCATTCTTTTTGACAGCTGCATAATCTCCATTGAATGGATGCCACTTAATTTACTTGACCAATCCCCTACTGATGGACATTTGGGCTGTGTCCAGGTTTCCTATATTACAAACAATGCTGCAGTGAACACCTGTGCACAGTTATTTCTGCATACTTGAACCAGCATTAGCACTGCTTCAATAGAAAACAGAATCTAACGTTTTTCTGCTATTCCTAAGTTTATAAATCACTAACACTCAGATTTGGAATTAGCAGTGTTTCTTTAGGAAAAATAAAACTGGGTCGATTGATTCACAGCAGCACAGACTAAGCTAGTTTATACCTTTCTAAATGGTAAAGTAATTAGCAAAATAAATTAAATAATCCCTTTTTCCCTAAACCAGCATGCGAAGAAATCACTCTACCAGTGGGAATGCTCCTCAAGTGTCTTCACAGGTTCAGTGACATTTCTAGTGTCCCAGAACTTCACCCTACAGTCGTCTCCACAGCTAGCTAAGTAGTACTGCTTATTGGGATTAAAGTCGAGGTCCCGTACCAGCTGTCCGTGGGCATTCTCTATGCAGTATATCTGGCTGAGGGGAGGAAAAAAAGAAAAGCATGTAAAAATATTAAATGGATTAGGAAAAGCCACCGAACTCTGCAGATAGGCATCAATTTCCTAGTAACGTCTTTAATCCCCCAGCTCTGGCAATAACGGTGGTCCTACCGCTGGCATCTGAGCTCGGGGGAAATCCCAGCTGGTGGCGCTCCTGGCTTACAGGGATTGCCTTTCCCCCACACGAGGAGGCTGAGCATGGGCACCAACAGTGGTTGTGGATGCCAGCTGAGCTTGGCAGCCTTCATCTGAGCGGCCATAATGACTGTAACGCATGCTCTAAATTTTTTCAGGAATGTATCTGTGATCCTCTGGGCAAGCTGTGGAATTGATAGTGGTTTCCAGCTGTCAGAAACGTTACTGGGGATCTTGAAAATGAGAATGTGCCAGAGGGGATGTGACTGCCATGGAGAAGCTCAGACAGGCTTTTGGGTAGGACACCTGACAAGTTTTTGGAAGGATGCGGTGGGAAAAGGAAAAAGGATAGGGGAAAAGGTAGAATAAATAATTGTTTTTGGTACTGGGAGGTATATACAGAACAGGAAGAAAAGGTTGGAAAAACTATGGAAAAAAAAGGAGTCAGTGTTTGTTATTGCTGGATTTGTCCTTTATCTATTCACACTGCCCAGGATGCCAACACTGGAAGGTATCTTTGAGATGATCCAATGTAATTCACTCATTATAAAAACAAGGAAACTCAAATAGAGAGAGTTGCTGAATTCTAGTCACATAATCATTTATATGGTATGTGCACACACACACACGCACGCACGCACGAACATAACCGAAGCCCTGATTTCCACAACTTCAGACAGCTCCTCCTGTGGTCTGAGATCAGAGCATTTCACCTATTACGATGGCTCCTTCTGATCTCATAAACCCAAAACAGGCGGGCAGGTCATCTGGTGAGGGTGGAGGGTGGTGCATGGCCTCCTGGGTCAGTAATGGTCTACTCTTCACTGGGGCCACAGCCGAGCGCCTGCACTCTTTCCTGCCTGCCTATGTGCCGACGTGCCACACTGCCATTTCCACATCCCTCCCTTGGGTGAAACTTAAATCTCCCTTCCAATAATTTAATTTCTTCACTCTTTATAGCTTCAATGGGGATGGTGTACAACTGGGCACTTTTGTTCCTTGTAATTATCTTTCACATATTTGAAGACCATTATTAAGTGACCTTACATTTCTCTGTTCTCCAAGGTAGATAAACTCAATTCCTTTCATCTTTTTTCTCCCCCACGTTGGATTTTCTATCCTTGAATCATTTTTAAATCTTGAACCATTTTTATATCCCCTACCTTTCCAGTACCCTAATTTTTTTTCCTAAAATGAGACACCCTAAACCTTAAGATCTTCCAAATCAAATAGGCAAATATATAAAATTAAAAATTTGGCAAAGTCCTACGGATTTGGATGGACAGTCATGCATGCACTAAGCATTTACTAAAGGTTTACTGCATGCTCTAGTGGGAATTATTTCAATAAAAGCATAATAAATTCTAGAAGAAACACTAAAAGCATCCTGGCTAAACAAAAACCAGTGTTGCTAGTTAGCAAACAGAGAAATAATAGTCAGTGAGAAGGAGCTATGACCTGTGTTTCCTGAGGTCCAGCTTCCCAGTGAAAGTCAGCTCATCCTCACAAAGAGACAGCACAGGGCAAAACGAGTTAACTACACATATGGCCGTCCAAAGCTACCCGTGGTGTCATTTCTTTCTTTCTTTTTTGGTCCATAATGTCAGTCTTCGAGTTTCTTGTGTTTAGATAGTAAAATGCCTCACATCCCTTTAAAGAACAATGTGGAAAAGATAACCATGGGACGTGGAGAAATGGACTTGAGTCAGGATATTCATCATGACATAAGTCTATGGCTCTCAGCTTCCGATTATAAAACTGCATAAACCCTTTGTACAGTATGCACAAGGTGAGAAAATGGCAATTGATTATTTATTAGCCCCTGAGTTTTCAGAGGAGCCATGAAACTAAATTTAAAGTTGTGCCCCCACCCTTAAAGGCAATACAAGTTATTACAAGACATCCATCTTTTCAGCTTAGTGATAAATGATGGTGTGCTGAGGGGATAAACTGTATCTTAAAAAAGCTTGCACAGGCTTCTGTTGCCATGACAACAGATATGCACACCATCACTCCTTTGCTTATCAAAATCACAACTGGAACAGAAAAATCGCTCTTATTTGTTCCATTAAATTGTTGGTTGTTGCCTATAATTACTTAAATGACAAAATAGGATCACCCATAGGCATGTATCTTGCAGGCACAGAAACAGCCAGAGACAACTACCTAAGAGAGACTGAATCAAAGGGACTGTGACTGTCAACTTTTAGTTGTTAATCATGGAGACCGAGAGCATTCCACGGTCACCATCGCACTCATGAACTGTGCACAAGCATTGATGTTAATTTTCATTACAAACTGCTATCGCTTAAGGAATATCAATATGGAATATTAAACGATCAACTGAGGTATAACTGTTCCACAGCAATGGATGTGCTGGCTTAATTTGGGGTGAAGAAACAAAATAAGATTTATGATGCTTTACAAAAGTAAGATGGAGACAAACCAACCATGTGCCCCCAAATGCATTTGACTTATAATCATCTCCATCATGGTCATGGTTTTGCTCACTGAGAAAGGAAATGGAAGAGAGAGAGGAGGAAGAACCCAGAGCACGGGTTCCTGCTCCCCTCTCAAATGACAACTCCAGTGTCACTGACCTCATAGTCCGAGTATCCCATCCTCGTAGGGTGGTGTCATTTGCTGTGGCAACCTGGGTACAGTTGTGATGTGGGCTCCACCGTCCCGAAGTGAACTTCAGTTGTCCTTTTCCTTCCAAAGATGCTGAGCTGGCCAGCTTGGAATTTGGTAATGTTTTTTAGAGGAAGAAGAAAAGAAAAGTACTTTGACCTCTTCAGAAAATGCAAGAGGCTATTCTGTCCTCGCAGGGTATTATTGAAAAGAATTAAGAAGATCTATTTTTGTTTTCTTCCCTTAAAAGTCCAGAATGTCTGAACCTTATTGGCGGGGCTGGGTGGGGGGCAGTTTGGACAAAAACAGCACTATAAAACTGAGCACAGCAAGACACAGAAGGCATTCTAATAGATTCTCTATTAGACAGGACTTGCTTGCAAGTACATGATGAATCTGCTCAAACTCGAAAAAAAAACAAAATAACTCAAACATCTGGCCTTACTCAAAGACAAAGCAAGTAAAGTACACAGGACCAATTCTGGAACACCAAAAGGAAAAACATAGTTTACTTAATCGAATATTGTTTTCAATACACATCCCCTACCCCCGCTCTATTTCGAAGATCTCTGAGTACTTTCCATGGAGGTTAACTGAAACCTCAGTAGGCCACTGAGCTAACTGATGGAAACTTCGCCTAGATCCACTGGGAACTGCCTCTTGGGGATCAAAACCCGCACATACCTGAAACAGAGGTGCTCTTGGCTGTGAGACTGGGAATGAGGCTGTCTGGTCACCCCACCCACCCCACCCACCAGCCAGCCTGGGCTTTGATGCCCAAAGGCATATCCCACTTGCTCACATCTTTATTTCAATTTTGAGTTTAAATATCTATTCATATAGTGACTTCTAACGACAAGAGAGGGTGTTCCAGGCCTCCCCCACCCCGCCACCCCTCCCTGCTAAGTTCCCCGTCACACCGTGACTCCAGTGATTACTGACAGGGTTACAAAACTCTACAATCACTCAATTCACTTTAATTTTAAAACTACCTGTACTCTTTGCAGCATTTTTGAGAGGGGAACTGAAGAGGCCACACAGCCAACCAGCTCTAAAAAGTGTCAGAACTCTGATTAAACAGTCCCAGAAAGGACAAGGTAGATGAGTAGCTAGAAAGGCAGGTAGGGGTCCCCTGTGGCTACTCTGGGTCCTATGGGCCTGGTGCTTTATTCATTCATTTCACATTACTGACGGAGGGCCTGCTGCCAAGCAGGGGCGCTGCCAGGAGCCAGAGATTCAAGGATGAACAAACTGGTGGACTAAAGAGCTGCCGGGTAAGCGCTGTTACAGACAGAGGGCAGAGTGCTGGGAGAGGCCCAGAGAGGATCAGCAGCTAACCAGGAGCTCACTCCTCCTGCCCACGGACAGTGAGAGATGCTCCCTCTGCCTCACTGTGCTCAGCCAGAGCCTAAAGGCCACGTCCTGGTACTCCGCTAACCTAGCACTAACGGAGCAGGCTAGAACAGTGATTCTGAACCCTTCAAAAACCAAACCAAACCCGTGGCTGTCGAGTCAATTCCAACTCACAAGTCACCCTACAGGACACAGCAGAAGTGCCCAATAGGGTTTACAAGGAGCGGCTGGCAGATTCAAACTGTAGGCCTCTTGGTTAGCAGCCGAGCTCTTAACCACTGAGCCACGAGGGCTATGCACATAGTTAAGCGTTTGTCCTTAGTCTTTTGTTCTTTTTAAAGGAAGAGGCCCCCCACATTCTCAAAGGGTCTGGGTATGATCTGGTAAGGATTTGGATCACCGTTAGGAGTTAGGGGTAGGGGAGAGGAAGACAACACCCCAGAGGAGGCGCATGTCACATCACCAGGGGGCGTTTAACACCCCACGCGTCCAAAGATTTGGCTAAGCTGTTCCCACCCCACCCTGGACACACCCTGTGAGAATGTGAGAGCCACCGGAAACCCAGAGGTAGTAGCTTAACTCTCAGTTATGCCGGCGAGAACGTGGATTCCCGTTGCTCAGCAGTGGGAGTGTTGTCTAGGCTGTAGAGACCTCACAGCTTTGGCATGCAGCCCCGTCACTCGTCACTCTCAGAAAGTGAGGATCCTCCAAGCTGTTGGCTGTTCCCTCGCTCCTTCCCCCTGCTCACCAGCAATCCTTCTGATGATCACCACCCAACCCCTCAGTACCCAGCTCCACTACCCACCCCCTACACCACCCAATCTTCCCCACAATCCAATGACGTGGTGGAAAATCAAAAGTACTTCTCAGGAAAAGGCTGAGGGCTTTGGTTTTATAGTATCCAAGTTAAAATAACTGTTTTACGTGTTGAATTGGTAAATGTTGTGTTATATATGTTCTTAACACAAAATACAAAAATCTGTTTTACTAATCCTCTCCCCATAAAAGCTTGAATGGCTATTTCTGTTCCACTTGAGAAACATTTATTGCATTACTACTGTGTGAAGGGTGCTGTGCTGGGCATGGTGGTGACATCAAAAAACCAAACCCGTTGCTGTCGAGTCGATTCCGACTCACAGCTACCCTACAGGACACAGTAGAACTGTCCCGTTGGGTTTCCAAGGCTGTAATCTTTATGGAAGTGGGCTGCTACATCTTTCTCCTGCAGAGAAACCCACCACTCTTGGCTGGTGGGTTCGAACCACTGACCTTTCGGTTAGCAGCCACAAAGAGGAGTAAATCACTAGAATACAAAGTAGAATGAAAGGAGAAGTGCCAAGTGCTTTGGGGATTCAGAGAAGAGATCACATTCGACTCGATGGGAAAACCCGGAAGATTCCAGGGAGCAGGTATCATTTGAGATAGGCTTTCGGGAATGTGCAGAATATCCAAAGGCAAAAGTAAGAGGAAGCGTGGCTGAGGACAGAAGGTGGAAACCAGAAGAATGCAAAGATGTATGGAGGATAGCAAACAGTCCTCTTTGGCTTAAAAATATTAGCGTTAAGCTAGGCAGTTAGGTTGTGGTGATGAAAATCAGGCTGAAGCGTTTGCAGGCTGTGGAGAGCCACTGAAGATTTGTAAGTGGGGCAGGGACACATGGCCTGAGTCCTGCTTCTGGAAGATGGATCTGGCAGCTGTATGCAGAGGGACTAGAGGGGCATAGCTTGGAGGCAAGCACCCCCGTCAGTGACTACAACAAGAGTCCAGGCGTATGCCATCAATCAGAATGCGAGTATGGAAAGGGAAAGGATGCGCAGATTGCCAGTGACGTGCAAAAGGACTTCCCTTGACAAACCAGTACTCCTAGTCTGTGTTTTCTTACCAGGATCTCTTGCAGCACATGTAAAGCGGGTCACAGTTGCCCATATGCTTCTCACAGAAACCCAGTGTGAACTAGCTTGAGCAAAAAAGGAAACTCAGTATAAAAAAACTGGAGTGCCTCAGGAAAACTAAGTAGAAATGTAGGAGGATTTTAGGAATGATTAGCACTAGGGCTCAAACATCATAAAGATTCTCTCTACATTCCTCATCTCTGTTCCTCTCTATAAAGAAACAAAACAAAACAAAGCTCGTTGCCGTTGAGTTGATTCCAACTAACAGCAATCTTACAGGACAGAGTAGAACTTCCCCATAGGGTTCCAAGGCTGTAATCTTTACAGAAGCAGGCTGCCACATCTGTCTCCCTTGGAGCACCTTGTGGGTTCTAACCACTGACCTTTTAATGAGCAGAGAAGCACTTAACCACTGTACCAGCAGGGCTCCTTCAAATTGAATACAGTGATACATTAAAAACTAGTACAGACACTGAAACAAAGCAAGCTTTGCATCCTTTTTGCATCCTTCTAACTAGACATCCAAGGAGAGACTGAGCTTACCCTCCTGGAGAAGAACTTCATCTGGCTCAGCCTGGGTCAGGTGCCCACCCAGGAACAATCAGGCATGGCTGAGTGGGTGAAGTCATAAAGAATACGGCAGGTTTTGTAGGAATTATGTGCATGGAACGAGGCCTGGTGGCGGTAGGACTATTAATAAAAAAATTAATAGGTGTCTTCTACACTTTCATTTTCACTGTATCAGATTTTACAACTTTCCTTTCTTTTCAAAACCTTCACAGCACATGAAAATTCAGTTGCAGGGGTGTAACTATTTTCCGTTGGCACATGGGAGGTCTGGGTCCCTAGAAACACTAAGACACTTGGATAAATCATAACAAATTCAAACACAGGCAACTATATTGAAGGAAGGTTTGATTTCTAAGTAAAATTCAAAGAGGTAACTATGCCGAGCATGCATGCAGGTAATCACAGAAGAGACTAAAAAAAGAGTTGTGATCACAAAGCCATGCTTGAAAAAATAAAATGACGGCAGGAAATTAACAACATGGGACCTATACTCTAAGCCACATGAAAATGTTTAGTAGAAGCCAATTTGGGGTAAGGTCAAAAAAAAATCTTTCTAACAGCAATGCTGCAATACAGTTACCTAAACAGGAGAATCAGCAATATTATTTCAAAAACTAAAAATGACTCTAAAATACATATTATTAGGATAAAAAGTGAGCTAATTTTTGGCTTTAACTTTTGCAATTTATAACTACATTCAATGTTTTAATTTCTACATAGACAATATGAACTAAGAAATATTTCTGTAGTAGCCCCTTTAGGGAAAAAAAAAAAAAAGCAGCAGTCCGTGATGGTTAAGATTGTGTGTCAACTTGGCTGGGCCATGATTCTCCGTGTTTTAATGTAATCACTCCCATGATTGAATATGCTGTTAGTGGCCAGTCAGATGAAAGGGAGTCTCCTTGGGGGTGTGGCCCGCATCTGTATATAAGCAGATGTTCTGGCTTTTTGCTCTCTCTGGATCCTGCAGCTGCTTCCTGTCATCTCATCTCCCGTTCTTCGGACTTGAGCTGTCAGCTTATCTGCTGAACCTGGGATTCGTCGATCTGCACAGCCTGTGAGCAGGAGCCCTGCTCTCCGACCTTCCGATCTTGGGCTTGCCAGCTTCTGCAGCTGTGTGACTTGGGAGAAGCCTCTACCCTGATCCACGGACTTGGGACGTTCTAGCCTCTACAATCATGTGAGCTGTTTCCTTGTATAATCTCTCTCTCTCTCTATATATATATACACTTTACTGGTTTTGCTTCTCTAGAGAACCCAGCCTAAGACACAGTCAAACACAATTTTTCCA